TGCTTCCTCATGCTATTTTTTTTTATTCCCACCATAGTCAATATTTGTTTCTTCCTAACTTCCTACCTCTGAAGCCTCATTATGACATTCATGTGCCAATGTGAATATTCTTGTCACTTCCAGGCAGAGAGGCATCATCTATTCAAGCACAGCTCTGGTGAGCCACCACATTTCTAACACATAATATACATTTTCATTCTAGTCCAGTTGAATCTTTCAGCATCTGACTCCTCACCTGAGCACCTTCTCTGTACTGCAGACTTGTTACTGAGTATCCACCTGAAATAAGCTTTACTCCAACTTGATAAAAATCATGTATGTGAAGCAAATATTCTTGGGAAGTGAGCTAAAACAAGGTAGTCCATCTATACCTCAAGAGTCTTGAGTCTTTAAATATTCTAAGTTACTTTTAGATCACAAGAAGAGAAAAACACTTTAAAATTAAACGTATTATATATTAGGGATGTTGAATGTTAGTGCTACATTACTTAATGTTTTCTCTGCTAGCAAACAAAAGCATTCACATGGTCAGCTGAGAGCTATTGTAAAGATTGCACACCTCACTCTACTTTAGGGCTTCTTTGCGTAGTTAGCCTACTTAAAGCTTTAGCATCTATTATTTGATTAAGGAAATATAAATGAATCCCTTATATGTGATAGGTCTTTGGAAAATTCCCTGGGATTTTAATGTGAGCAAACTCAGAAAATCTCTACTATTATAGAAATAATATTCTAATAAGAGGAACAGACAATAAATAAGTAAATATGAAAACTTCAGAGTTTTGAGAAATAATCTGAAGGAGATAAAAAAAGAGTATATAGAAAGCAACTGCTTTATGAAGCATTTCCAGGACAATGAGTTTCAGAGAAGCTTCTTAGAAGAGATATCATTTGCACTAAGAAAGCAGAATGAGACAGAGTTAACTTCTTAGTGTGATCCTATGCCTTTGTTATCCAACTTGTCTACTAATAATTATACTCCTGCTCTTTGAATGCCTGAAATCATTATTACCCATACCCTGCATTTAACACATAGAATGCCTTTATCTTTTAGAGGTCACATCTTTAATGAGTGAGTGCTGTATATATGTAAATGGATGATAAGCTTCTTAAAAGTTTGTGACCCCAGTATCAATATGGCACTATATGCATATGGTGCCATGAATGCCTCCACCTTTCAGCCAGTTGGTAAAGCAGATGGGAAAGATGCTGAAGATTTTAGACTGCAGTGAGAGATCTCAACCTAATTTTTAAAGTAGTATCATGTTTTCTGCAAGAGATTTAGGTGTGTATCAAAAATATCATTACTAGTATGTGTTTATGTATCAAAATGTAAAAGATACACATTTTATGTTATATACATGTATATATTTCTTTAATAACCTGAGATACAAATTCTCATGTATCCTGTCATGATTCTGGGTAGAGCTGTCCATAAAAGGTTTCTAATCATCTGATACTTTCTCACTCATGTCAGGGTAAGCTGTCTCTTGTTTCTGTCTCTCTGTCTCTCTGTCTCTCTGTCTCTCTGTCTCTCTTTCTCTCTCTCTCTCTCTCCCTCTCTCTCTCTCTCTCTGTGTGACTCTTCTGTCTCTGTCTGTATTTATCTGTCTGTATATCTCTATCTATCTCTTTCTGTCTCTTTTTTTCTGGTGGTACTAGGATCGAACCCCAAAGCACTCTACCACCAGAGCTGCATCCTAGCCTTTTTTATTTATTTGTTTTTGAGACTCCATCTCACTAAGTTGCCCAAGTAAAACTCAAACTGGCCGTATACCTGCTTCAGCCTCCCAACATGCTGGCATCACAGGCCTGCTCCACTTTACCTGGAGACACTCTCTTTTTTTCCTTCCTCAATCTATGCCTCCATTTATCTTTAGTCTCTCTTCATTAACTTTTTCCCTACCAGTACTAGTACATTTTCAGTTCTTTTACCCTAGGTAAGTCACTTCTAAATTCTCTTTATCCAGTTTTCTGTTGCTTCATATTGTTTTGCAAAAGTGATATGACAAATATGTGACAAAAAAATGTGGCAGTTGAATACACATATATGAATGGCACATTTACCTATGAGTACATTTATGTAGGTGTGTGTACACATATCCATACATGCAGTTCACTGTTCAGAACCACAGATTCAGCCATATTCACCGACTTGACCAACTGCGGATATTAAAATATTTAAAATATAAATTATAAAAATATCAAAATTAAATTATAAAAATATAAATTATAAATACATTTAAGAAATTATAACTGTTCTGAATGTGTACACTTTTTATACCTTAAAAGCGTATTAGAACTATGTATATCACATTTGGATTTTATTAGATATCAGTAGTCTAGGGATGTATGATAGGATGTATGGAGATTATATGCAAATACTACATACAGAACTTTATACAAGAGACTTAGTAACCACAGTATTCACTGGAAGACTCAAGAACCAATCCCTATGGATCCCAAAGAATGTCTGTATATTTATGTGTGTGTTTACATGTGAATATGTGTGTAATATATATATGCATATGTGTACATATATGCACACACACATATATAATTGTCTGAACACTTCTGAATGTATTCTCTTATTTTTGTAAGTCCTCTGTATATTGTACCCTGGCATTCTTAATTGCAAGTCTTCTACACTGACTCTTTAAAGGCATAGAGCAGTGATAGCAAACCTTTTAGAGCTTTCAGATACAAGAGCTTGCTGGGACATGTGTGTCATAGGTTTGCCACCACTGGCATAAAGCCATTAATTCATTCAACAAATAGTATTTTTGAGAGCCTACTTTATCCCAGGCACCGTTCAAGGCTCTAGAAATTTAACCACAAGAAATCCTTGGACTATCCCTGCTTATAGAGTTACCATCCATTAAGAAAAGTATCAGTGGAGTACAGGCACACAGTGTGTAATTGGCCCTTTGTGGGGTGCTGTAAAGCAGCACAGGCAATATACCATTGACATGTAATAATTGTCCATGTTTATAGGATGCAGTCAGGTGTTTCAGTACATATAAACATTATGTCATGAACAACACAGAGAATGTTTTAATCAAATACAGGGAGACCTCCTCCATTTCTGGAGTCCTGGCAAGTGCCTGAAGTCAAGAGTGAGTACAAGCCAAGTAGCTAAAGGGAACCATTTTTATAAAAGTCCTGAGGCAAAAGCAAACAATTGAAGAATGGCTTCTGTGATGGGATAAAGGCAAGTGATCCAACTCCTGTTGTCATAAGAAGTTGCAAATAGTCAGAGTCCTGATATGGTAGGCTGCAGTCTCTGTTCTGCAGGCAGTGTGATGCCACAGGGCAGGTACAGGGACGGTCTCCACAAAGGTCCTGCAGGTGGAGGGATGGGAATGGGACCCGATAATCACATTTACGTTTCCTTAGGTTTACTCCCCGTGGTTTTCAAAACTTTTTGACCCCATGTACTGTTTCGTTCTTTTTAAATTTTCTGCAGGGATTCCATTTTCAGTCATTATTCCATACTCATTCAGAAAGTCTTTGAGCTGGGGGTGGTGGCACATGCCTGTAATGGCAGCACACTGGGAAGCTGAGGCAGGAGGATCACAAGTTTGAGCCCAGCATGCAACTTCATGACTTATGAAGACCCTGTATCCAAGAAGAAAAAGAAGTTGTGGATGTAGCTCAGTGTGTCAGAGCGAGGGTCCTGGGTTCAATCTTCAGTACCACAAACAAACAACCCCCCACCCCAAAAGTTCACTTCTTTGCTTTTCTGCTAGGCCAAGACAGAGATTTTTCATAAAGTTCTTTGACCATCTCATTAGGTAAACAATGGACTTGCATTTTCTACCCAGCAAAATGGTCATGGTCCATGAAGAAATCAGATAAAAAACATTTTAAAGGTTCCTAGGAAAAGTCCTGAAGATATTTAAACTTTCCATTTTAATTCCCCAAATAGAAATACAGTTTTCTTATTCCTTGTTTAGGTTGCTAGGTCATTGTTCCCAAGCCCTTTTGTTTTAAGCCTACCCTGACATGGTGAGAAAATCCCACATGGCGAGAAGCTTTTGTGGACAGCTGAACCCAGAATCATGACAGACCCGTGTGTCACCACTGTTTCCACCATGACCTTTTCACTCAAGAAGTATCCAGGATCCAAGTGAAAATGCATCACACACACACACACACACACCTAACAATATACATTGTTGTACATTTTGATACATAAAATCATATTAGTAATGACGTTTGTGACACTCACCTTTTTTGAAACCCATTGTCCTGGAAATGCTTCATAAAGCAGTTACTTTCTATTGCATCACCTTTTTTATCTCCTTCAGATTATTTCTCAAAACTATGAAGTTTTCATATTTGCTTATTATCTCATACTGTAATCCCAGTGGCTCTCCAAGTGTCTATCACATATAAGGCACTCATTTGTATTTCCTTAATCAAATATTAGGTACTAAAGCTTTAAGAAGTCTAACTACATGCTCAGAAGCCCTAAAGTAATGTTGAGTGAATTATGCAGATTCTTTGCAGTAGTTCACAGCTGACCATGAAAATGTTTTTGTTTTTCTTGTTATTTTTGTAAAATTTGAATTTTTGTGGAGTCAATTATGGCTTTTCTAGTTCATAATGAGATACAAGCAGGTTTTTTTGTTTTTCACATACTGTTTTAAAAGTTGGGAAAATAATGTTGTCTTGCCTACTTTTTTTTCCCTCAAATTTAAAAAGCAACTCAATGAGTAATCTATCACAAAATATATTTTTGGAAAACTTCACACTTATTTAATGAAGTCACTACCAAAATTAGGCATAATCTTAAGTAATACTGTTAAGTAATGCTGCATAAAAATATCATGCAAAATTCAGATGGACCGAGCATGTTTTTTCACTAAGCTGGACTCCTGGTGAGTCATACTTAAATGTCTTAGCTTGGGACAACACATTCTGTAAAAAAACAACAGCAAACTACTTGGAACGAATAGCCATTGTACATTTATTGATCTAATTTCTATTTGCTTCAGAATTTCTTTTCTAAAAGATGGAGGGCTGAAAATAGCCAATGTGACTAAAGCTGACTCTGGAACCTACACCTGCACAGCAGAAAACCAGTTTGGGAAAGCCAATGGTACAACACTCCTGGTGGTTACAGGTGGGTGTGTATCTCACAGATTGCTGTCCTGAGGGATACACTGCATCACATATTGTTGTTTGTTTAATTCTTCTATTAATTTTAACAGGGCATATTACTTAATATTTCTTTAGCACAAGACAGTATACATAGAAAGACTCATTAATTACTGGACTGGAATGATGGGTTGAAGGATTACAAATAGCATATAGTGATGTTATTTTATTTTATGCTATTATACCACATATTTCAGGAACAGTGTTTTTTATTGTAATTGGTCTTTTCTGGTGGTATTCAAGTTTATAAAAAGAATTCCTTTAAGTTGTGGATACATTTTTTTCATGTTATTTAGGAAAAATGAGCATCCAAGTACTTGAGCTATGCTAGTGAGAATATCCACAAAGATACTTCTCTCCTGAACCTTAAATTATACCCTAGCTAGAAAGAAAATAAGCAATAGGAATAAGAAACGAGGAGATTATTAGAAAGAGAGATTCCAAACAATTGAGAAAGTGAAGAGGAATGTATGGAAAAAAGTAAGGTAGAATATGAAACAGTGTTCTGAGTTGAACTCACTGAGGTGAGATTGAGACAAAGATTTCAGGGAGATGAAGGTGAAACCCAACAGATTTCCTGGGCCCAATTGTTTAGACACTATGTAGACCTTTTTAAAACTTCAGCTTTCAGTTAGATTGAAAAGTGGAGCCAGGGACCGATTTTTAGCAGAGAAATGAGGTCCTGGAAATGGCATTTTAAAAGAATGACTCTAGCTGCTCTGTTGAGAAGACTGTGAGAAGGATTGTAAAGGCAAAGAAAGTCTCAAAAGCAAAGAAGTTCTCAAGAACCATTGCTGCAAACCAGAAAGAAGGTGGTCATGACTGAGATGGGGCTGGCAGCCACAGAGATGATGGGATGGAATCCAATTCTGGATATAATATGAGTCAGCAGGAAGTGTTAAAAGGAGATGTGAGGTCCAAGAGTATGAGAGGATTCTAGAATGCCTTCAGGGTGAATAATAGGAAGATGACAGTCAAACAGTTGAGATGGCACAGTCTACAGGTTGGACAGCATTGCAGAGAAGGAAGATCATGACTTTACTTTGGATGTATTGAATATGAGATTTTTATAGGCTCTGTCTGTGTGAAGCAGATTGTGGATTTGCCAAGATGTAGGTGGGTTAAAATAGCAGAAGTTCACTTTTTGCTCATGTGACAAGTCCATGGTGAGTCAGCTGTGCTGTCTTCATAGGGATAAGGGGATCTGTCATCTCCACCATCTGCCACATTGCCCATCACCACAGAAGGGTAAACAAAGAACATCAAATTACCTACTAGTTCTATAGTTCAGCCTTTCAGTGCCACACGTAACTCCTACTTCACCATCCGAAGCATAGCTTTGGGCTATGCTTGAATTCAAAAGTGTTATGAATTTAATCCTACTCTGTGCCCTAAAGAAAGTAATGATGGTTGACATCCATGTGGAGATGCTGAGTAGGTAGTTGGATATATGAACTTGGATATGAGGAGAGAAATCAAGGACAGAACTACACATATGGCAGCCATTGGCTTATATATGAGTACCTGAAGCCAAGAGACTAGATCAAATCACCAAAAGAGTGTATAAAGACAGGAAATTTTAAAAATAAAAACAAGATTGACCACACATTCAGTGCTAAGAAACTTGGGAACAAAAGTGGGAAATTTGACATAAAGATAGACACCAAAAGAGTTCACAGTGCGGTGGAAGAAAACTAAGATTACAGAAACCAAGAGATGAAAGTATAATGAGCAGACATTGATCAAGTACAGCAGATTCAGTTGAGAAATCAGGTAATATGAGACCAAAATTTTACCATTGGGTATTGCAGGGGGACCTGGGTGAGAACAGGTGTGTTAGGGGGACAAAAGGCTGACTGGACCAGTTTAAATAGGGAACTTGAAACAAGTATTTATATACCACATCCACAAATGACTCATTAGAAGACTTTCAATGACATGTGATGTTAAGACCTGGCGAAGAACAGTGGGAAAGTAGGGTCAAGGGAAACTGAATTCATAAGAGATGGAAAGTCTGTGATGATGATAGGGAGAAAGATGTTCATGTGGACTTTTGCTTTGGGACAAATGCACTAATCAACAGTTTAACATAGTGCCCCTATCATTGTTTCTACTCAAAGTATCATTTACTTAGTTTTGCTTATCCGTTCAAACATGAAAGATTAGAGTATATTTAAACTTTGATGTTAATGCTATTGCTAGTCACTGAAATTTGGCAAAAATAAAACAGTAGTTTCTGTTTCTACCCCTACATTTTACAAAATAATAAAACTAAGTTGGAATTGATTCTCAGTATTATTATAGCTGTTTACAGATGACTTTAATTTCTAAACTTTAATATCTTGTGAACTCAGATATGCTAATTTCTTAACACAAACTTGTGGGTCCAGTAAAATATAGTTTTGCTTGAAAATGTATGTATTTTAATCTTGAAGGCTTTCAATTACATAGATGTATGTGTATACCTATACATATGCAAACATACACACTGTAAGTCAGCTGAACCATCTGCCTGTACAAATTGTTTTCATCATGATAAAAATGCTAACATTTTGCTTACAAATTTTTTACCTAATAGAACCTACAAGAATAACTTTGGCCCCTTCTAATATGGATGTCTCAGTGGGCGAAAGTGTCATTTTGCCCTGCCAGGTGCAACATGACCCTTTGTTGGACATTATGTTTACCTGGTATTTCAACGGGGCCCTCACAGATTTTAAGAAAGATGGATCTCACTTTGAGAAAGTTGGTGGGGTAAGTTGTGGCACTCTCCTCATACTTTTTATATTATATATGTCTATGACATGTTGCCTCTGACAAAACACTTGGAACATTGGAGGTACTCTAGAGATGTTTCTAAATGAGAGAATCTTGCTTCTCAATTCTGTTTTGATCTAATTTTATTTTTGTAATTACCAGAAATTGAGCACGTTTACTTCAATGTGTAATTTTAATTAAAGTTGGTGCGTATTGCATTTATATTAAATGTTATTCTGCATAATTTTGTTGTATCCCATACAACAATTTTGTTGTATCCCATTTGTATACAAGTGTTTGTTCTCAAAATGTCATTTTTATGATGAAGTTGGAAGTAAGTTATATTTACTGAGTATTTTTGCATTGCTTTGGACATTAGCGGTAAGATCCTTTTACAGGTTTACAATATGAGGACTTGAAAAGCATAATACTTTCTCAAGGTCACTCAGGTAATTATTGGTAGAACTTCAAGCTTAGATCTGTGTGGCTCTTCCACACAAATACTCTCCAATAATCTGTTGTGTTTCCTGGGCTGTGGAGGGTCTGTTTTAGAAAAAAACAACAACACAGATTTCAAGGAAAGGTTGATGGTAGTTAAGAAGTCACTCAGTGTTGGTGAGCCACTGAGTCTGACAGTGAGCCTTGCAGCTGGTTGCTTATCTGTGAATTCAGATAAGCAAGGCCAGCCTCCTTTGCACCCATGTTGCATTGACTCATTGAGACTTTGATTCTATTTGAAACTATGTCAAACCTGGGTTTTCTTTATAGGAATTAACATGTAGGCATCAGTAAAATAGAAAACCACATAATGGTTAACTCACCTGTATTAGTTTGACGAGGCTTATTTTAAATAAATGTATAAATATACATTGGTATACTAACATATTAGGATTATGTACAATTTAAAAGGCTGCTGTTTGGGCAGATTTGGGAATTTATCTCAAATGCTATCTTCAAGTACTTGTGCCCAGTACCTCAGAATGTGACCTCATTTGGAAATAAGGTTACTGCAGAAGTAATGAATTAAATTAAGAGGAGATTGGGCACCAATCCAATATAATGATATTTTTATACAAAGATGACAGTTTGGCTACAAATGCACAGAGAGGAGATACGATGGGAAGATATACCACACAGACAAGGCCATGTGGTGCTGGAGGCAGAGTTTGGAGGCCACGTGCCAAGGCATGGAGGGGGTCCCCAGAACCTGGACCCACCCCTCCAGAGTCTGAGAGGAACATGGCTCCACCAGCACCTTGATTTCAGACTTTTACCCTCCAGAACCGTGAGACAATACACATCTGTTATTTGAAGCTACTCGATTTGTGGTGCTTTGTTATGGTTGTCCTAAGAAACTAACAGAAAAAAGAAAAATTTTAAAAGAAAATAGAAAATTGAGAAGTTATAGACCTATCCACAGTTAACTAAAATTTCAAATACTATTTTTCTATTTTTTCTGACTGATTTAAGGCTTTAAAAAACATTATCTAGTTGCTACAACCCTTAGTATTTCTTTTACTATTACATTAATTGGCCACGCTCTTAATTTTCACAAGTTTCTTCTCTCACAACAAAAAATGCATGTTATCATTATTCTCACCTCTCTCTCTGCTCCATATTCAAAATCTCTTGCAATTATTCCTTCCTTTGGCAGGAGGCTTGGCAAGAATAAAAGCCCAACATTTAACTTTCATAAAGACCCTTAAAACAGTCTAGAAAAGGCTGTTCCATAACCCAGATCTTCTTCTTCTTTCTTTCTTTCTTTCTTTCTTTCTTTCTTTCTTTCTTTCTTTCTTTCTTTCTTTCTTTCATATATATATAAATCGGTACATTTTAGATTTTAGGTATACAATAGATTTATATTTATCATTGGGTGTATGTACCTCATGTATCTTAATTCTCATTTTTGCCACCATTACCTGTGCACCCTTCACCCCCTCCACCCTTATTTATACAGACTTTGTTTCCATTTTTTTTTTCTTTCTCATAATTTTTCCTTTCCCTTTTTCCCTTTACCCTTCCCCCCTTTACCCTTCCCCTCCCACCAACCCTACACCTTTGGACCTTTCCCTATTTCAAATGATCAGTTATTCATTTTAATCATTTTAATCTTTATTTACACTTTCAGTTTCTCACACTAGAGAAACTATCCGGTATTTACACATGTGTGTCTTATTTATTTCACTTAAGAGTATGGCCTCAATATGCATCCATTTAGCTAAAAATGTCTCTAGTTTCCCGTTCTTTATGGCTGAGTAGTACTCCATTTTATAAAAAAAATCACATCTTCTTTATCCAGTTTCCAGTTGATGGGCACTTGGGCTGTTTCCAAG